ACCAGGGAAGATGTTTTACGGGCAAAGAATTTCAAGATTTTTGTCAAGATAGACACATTGAACTCCACTTAATGGCAATCGGTGCTAGTAGGACCGTATTACCGTAGTAGACAGGTAGAGCGTATTATGGCTGCTCTAAAAAAAATATGTTCACAACAATAGAAATGACCGGGCGGTCTTGGCAAGACGCGATTGGGGAAATACAACTGGCTTTAAATTGCACCACCAACCGCGTGACTAAGTCGAGTCCATTAAAACTGTTAATCGGTAAAACAGCAAGACCCTACGGCTTGTCCCTACCCGACAATATCGAAGAAGGAGAAGTAGGCACCTCTGATGTAAGACAGCAAGCAATAAAGAATATAGAGACTAGCGCTAAGTATGATAAAGATAGATTCGACAAAACTAAAGCTAAAGTAGTTAGGTTTAATCTTGGTGATTTTGAATGAGGAAAGAAACCAAAGTAAATTAGATCCGAAATTTAAGGCTCCATTTGTAATAGCAGGATTTTGGAGGGAGACAGATATATTCTAAAAACGTTAGACGGCAATGTTACGAAGCTGAAGCGGTCGTGTATTCTCACGCACTGCCAGCGGCGATGTTACGAATTTAAATCGGTCATATATTCGCACGTACTACCAGTGACAATATAATAAAACTCTGTGCGGTCGTGCAATCTAGAAAATCGAGATTCATCTGAGTACAAAATCGCAAATAGTCCATCATGCCATTACGATCCGACTGATAAATCACAGAATGCAACTACCACTTTGAATACAAATTATAATGCTACAAATTCTTGTTCTCTTTTATTTTTCTGTTGTCAAACCTCTGAACGAAATTTCGTTGTTGAAGTGGACCCTTGACTTATTTGGAACAGTTAGTTGAAGGGTAAATAATATCAGTTACGTCGAGTCTAATGTTGGAAAAACGCAATATTTTAGTTACACACGAGGACATGTGATTATCAGGATGGCCGTGTCGGAGATGAAAGGACATCGAAGCCTCTCCTTTGGAATTTCGGGAAAATTCTCTAACACCGTAATCTAGATTCTATCATAGGCGTAATTAAACAATTGTCGTTTTTCGATCCGGTTATATTTGTTCGAGATTTGTGATAATGAGCTTGGACTCGAGACGACAGCCAGTCGCCGAACGTAGCCGCGGTCACGGGATGAACGCTTTGCCTAACAAAGGTATGGAGTAATTCTATAGCTCTCCTTAAAAGAAATATTTGTAGCGGCAGGCGATAGTAAACATTCTAACGGTTTCTGTCCCATGGCTCGCCACACGCAGATCCTATTCTTCGGGCAAGACGATCACGAGATGCCGACGCATCTTCACCAGCTAGCCTGAGGGCCGTTATAAACATTAAGATCTAGTTACCTAAAGTCCTTCAAACAGACAAACAGTCTTTGTCGCAACTACGGAAAGACAGGGGAGATCTATTTTTCAACGAACGAAGTTTCCCGCTAGCAACTTTCCCTCAAGGGCAGCTAGCATCCTTTTCTAGCCACCGACATGGAAATTGACCAATTAACAGCAACGTCAATTTCCCTCATTTTGCGAACGAAGGCTTTTCTTGACGAATCCGATGATCTCGTGTCCTTAGACACACCCCATTTTAGTTTTTCCTCTGCAGCATCATCGTGACGGAGTCATTCTCTTATTAGCAAGTTACATAGCATTTTTACGCTCGGTGAATATTTTACATTTTAACAAAGAGCTAGTTTAGTAATACTTGTACCGTAGAAAGTCTGGATTCGATCTGAAATGTTGGAAAATTAGGTCTCAAAAGAGAATCTTGACTCTATCTAGAACTATATCATACTTTGTCGAGGTGAAATGACCATACGAGGGGAAGCTATAGGGTAGAGAAAGGGGTCGTACAATTTGTACAGCAGCGTGTATGTTGGTGCAGTCATGCTTTGAAACCAAAAGGTACAGCTTCCTTGTGGGACGTCGAAAGAATGAACAGTGACGTTTGTCTGGTACAGAAAATATCTCGATAAGTACTCTATTTTTCTCGTGCTCGGACCTTGAAAAACACTCCATTTTCCTTAAATTTACAGCACAATTGAGATGTAAAACAGTGACGTAATAAACAATGAAAGGGAACCATAAAGAATAATATGCACCGTTAAGATCGATATGCGGTTCAATTTTATTTTTGAAAACTTCCGTGTTTCCACGACTAGCAAACACGAAAGCAGCCAAGTTTAACGAAGAAAAATAATCCAGCAGATTTTACTGTCATAAGCATCTCCAATGGAAAATGTAGAAAAGAAAAGTTTTGTAACAACAATTGGTTAAGGGGAAATTGGAGATCTTGGAATATTTATAAACTAACAAAAGGTTTTATTACAAAAATGTCTATATCAAGAAAACTCGCGCTATTTTAAACAATATGTTATTATTTTAACAAATTCGTATAGTTTATAGTGCCTTAAAATAAAGATCTCCCAACCATATTTAATAGTGACATAATTCAAAAGAAAGTTACGTCTAAACTTACAGTAAACTTCTCTAACATAATATTTCAATACTTATAGAAATTTTATTATTATAAAATATCGTCATGTTATATTTGACCACAATCTAAAAAAGAATAATGTATTTTACACTAAACCTACCATTGTTGATCAAATTGACCATTTACAAATTTTTACAAGAATTTAACCATATTTAAATGTTATCATATCGCTTCATAATTTATGACTTTTTACAAAACATGCATACAACATACTTCTTGGTATTTACCTCATTTGCTTTTTTTTCTAAGAAAAAATTGTACTCTGTCCCGCCTATTGCGGGCGGTCAATTTGACCGGTCGATAAAATATTTTATTTACTCCTAAAATAAATGCAATCAGTACAAATAAAAGGCCATCTCAAGGTCAGATAACAAACTAAATCAGTAATAAGAATTAATAGCAACTGTTATGCCCGTAATCTTGTTATAAACAATAATCCATCCCTCGATCAAGATTGCCACCAGGTGTCAAAACATATCAACTCAGGTCCATAATAACCCTAAGGAACCGCCATAAAATTTAGCATTTTTTACGGTCAATTGTTACAAACATTTTAAAAGTTGAGAAGTTTCTTAGGGTTATTGCTCATTCCGATAAAACACGGGAAAAGCGGGATTTACCCATGTTCAACGGTCAATTCCACCCTTGAGCAACCGTTGGTGGAGAACGGCCAGCATCCATCAATATTTTCATATAAATATCGCCGTTACAAACCATATTCTCATTTGCTATTGTCCTTTTGACCAGAATACATCTCGGTTTGGTTGTCAATCAGTCGACATCTAAACTTGTTATTTCTAACCCTGTTATTTCAGAAAACATCTCAGAGCGTTTTGTGTAAAGTTGCTGTAAAAGAAAAGATAAAGCATATATAATTTGACAATAGTTTTGTATGTCGTATATGGTATTATTTTGTGATAAATATTTACCCTGAAAATGTCAACACTTTCCAAAAAAGAAAAAAGAATTATTAAAAAGAATAACGGGTATAGAAGAAGACCGTTCAGTATGCGATGAACAAGAAACTTCAGCAACTGAAAACAGTATGGAAACACATGAAAAGCTATTTACAACCGAAGCAGAGTTAAGTATTATAAATAAGCTTTCACGTCCAGGGCAAAAACGAAACAAATTATCGTTGACATCAGAGAGTGAGACTGGTGTAGAGAACGAATTTATCGAAACTGGGCCCGATGGAACAGTTTAGAAAGAAATAGATGCAAGGCCCAAACCTGGCAGGGCATCAGTTCATAATATTTTTAAGGATATGCCAAATGGCATATAATGAAAGAACAAGTAAAGACGACATTTTATCTTATCATTGATCACCGTATAAGGGATGAGATAATAAAATGTATGGAAGAAGAAGCATTGAGAGTATTGGGGACTAAGAAGGAGCTAGATAGAACAAAGCTGGATGCATTTATTGCCCGTGGTGCATATCAAGCAAAGAATTTAGATGTCTTATATTTGTGGAATAAAATTTGGCAACCTGCATTTAAAAAAAAAATAAAGTAACTCTTAATTAAGAAACAGACATATTGTAATTGTAATAATAGATAATCGAAGTCACTTTTATAGTATGTTTATTAATATAACACGTCAAAGAATTTGGTAAATATAAGAAAGATCACTAAAAGTTATGAAAAAGATTCTTCTGAATTGTACTTTCCAAAAACATCATGACTGCTTAAATAGGATGCGATAGTCATTTTTCAATTACATGGAAAGCATAATTTTTACTGGCTTTATTGGAGTCGAAAATGCATCATATCCCTTCTTTTTAAAAGCGAAATTTTATTCCACCGTGAATTCTGTGTTCATGAATGCGTTGAAATGTTTAATATAGAAAGGAAATGAGTCGTCTAGCTACTCGTCAATTTTATGTAAGGTTCTTTGCCGTCTACGCTTTTAAAAGAGATCAAGTTGGTGGAATAGGTAAAAATACAAATTTTATTTTATGCAAAATACAAATTCTATGCATTTAGATTGCTGCGTAAACATCGCGTGTCATTGTTCGTAGATTTAACTTTATTGGAAACAAGTTCTACAATTCTGCAAATTCCGAAATAACTCGTGCTCTGTTCAAATTATTAGAAAAAAATTGTATTAATGTTAAGTATAAGAAAAAAAGGATTGACCGAGACTTTTTTTAAATAAAAAATACTAATAAAAGATTTATAATAAAATTTTTGTTAATAACAATATAAATATACGTGGTTAATAAGTAGCGTCTAAAAAAGTTTGCTCTTTGCTACGGCAAAAGTGATCGAAACTTAACTGTTATTTCCAAGGTGTTCATAAGCGGGAGTTCCCGCTAGGTATCTACTACTATTCCGAGGAGGACACGTGGGACCTGTGGCGATCCCAGCTGATCAACGAGGGAGGCGAACATCGAGGCGCGGAGGCGGTCCTGCCAAACTGGGAGGCGTGGAGAAGCCGCCACGGCCTCCCGCTCACATTCAGGATGACCCAGGTGCTCACGGGACACGGCGTGTTCGGCGAGTACCTGAGGAGAATCAGACGAGAGACGACAGACATCTGCCGCCACTGCGGAGAGGGCAGGGACACAGCGCAGCACACCCTGGAGCTCTATCCGGCGTGGGAGCTGCCCCGCTACACTCTGCGGCACGCCATAGGAGAAACATTGACCCCCTCAGTGATTGTAGAAGCGATGTTGAGAGGGTCACAGGAATACGAGGTCGTCCGCCTCTTCTGCGAGCGAGTTGTGCTCGCGAAGGAGCGAGCGGAAAGGGAGAGAAAGAAAAACTCTCACCCTTGTAGGATAAGACTATGGAGAAGGATGGCAGTCAGACAACCTAGAGCCACTCCACCGCCACTCCACGGACCACGACGGGAAGGAGCGACAGCGCTAGGGGCAATGATCCCGCCGCCAATTCAATAGTCGGGAGGTATTAGGACTGGCTCAAACAAGAGGACGCGAGAAGGGGATGCAACGGAAGTTAATTCATAAGAGGTTCCTGTCACACTCCCGTCACACGCGTAGGATGGTCATCGTGGAGTTTTAGTCGGTAGGAGTCCGACACTACTCTGCTGTTACGCGATTACTGCAGCAGCGGAGTGTCCATGAGGATTCCTCCACGTACAAAAAAAAGGTATCTACTACTATTACTAGACAGCTTGTGAGATTTCCTGGTATGCCATGCTTTTGGAGCTTCTAGAGGAATACCTTCGATACTTGCAGAAATTGTAACATTGTAAGTAACTAATACTCTCCATCTCCTTTCTCGTCCCCGTTCCCAAATTTTTATATTTTAGATAATAATAGCGTAGCTGCTATGTATTTTCATCACGATACCAGTCATAAAAATCATTAGAAACTGTCAGAAATATGAGAATGTGTGTATCATCGTACAGTTGATTAGTTAAAAATTCAACTAATACTGCATCGTAGTCAGAATTATATGAACACAGGTTCCGTTAAAATAACTCGATAATATTCGATTATGTATATTCGTTCGTACGCGAATTGAGTATTAAAGTACGCAAATCCAATCAGTCACGGCAAAGATATCGTGTAAACTAATCGGGAAGACGTGTAGCAGCGTACACTTAATTGGAATTGATATGCTCTACAATCGACATGCATTCGAGAACTTTACTGATCTAAATAGGTTTCCAACTAATTATTTCACCAAGTTTCTCAGCTTACCACGATTCGTCCTATCGGTTAAACTGTGCGCAGAATCGCAGAAAGCTCTGATTTCGAGTGCTGATAATACTCAAAATAGCAACCAATTAAATGTGTCTGATAGCGATTTGTGCTTAAATTCTATAAATAACCCGCTTCTTGTATTGGAAAATCCTGCATAGTTAAATATTTAAACCAATGTTCGAAATTTGATGTCCCCAATTAACTAGTGTTAAAGTATGGAGATGATTTAGAGAGGTATTACAAAGAATTTCATTGTAATATTCACATAACTTAGCTCGCCACGTAGGCTACTCGGCGGAGGCCCAGGGCACGAGATTTCACACTGCATTTCTCTCTTTTGTCTCAACGGAGTCTTGGGCCATCAGACGACGCTCACATACATATTAAGGATGGGATACATACTCGTGTGTGTTTCCGCTCTACGTTCCCTCACTCTCGCACGTACAATACAAATGTACTATATATTCAACAATTAGTTTTTGAACTCTCACTTTTATCTATTTTTAGTTCATCCCCTGAGCAAGTACTCTACATAATAAGTATAATTTAATTGAGACATTTGTTACTATTATCGCACTAGAAGAATTTCGAAGAAATGGCATGATAAACTTACCTGGCTTTTCATCGGATCTGTGTTAATCTGACACATGTAGCGTCCCTCGTCTTGCTCTTGTACGTTCTTTATGTGAAGATTCCAAGTAGTATGGTCTCTATGAGATACCGAGACCCTGTTATTGTGAGTTATTACGTGATCGTGGATCGCCTGGATCGCCTTAGTATCCACTTTCAGCCAACCAACCTATGGAAATATTTATCTATTACAAGAAAAACGATGCAAACAATTAAATTGACAGTTTAACGTCGATACGGTATTGCAATATTTTAAACGTTCGATAAGATCGATTCCATGAATATTAAAGTAAAGTTTCGTGTCATTCTTCGCATGATTTTTCGAAGAAGATAAATTATTCTCTTAAACTCAATTTTCTGTCCTATTTTCTAACCATAACTTTTCTCACAAACAAACATTCTACTTGAAGGAAAAATTGTGTCGTACAATGCCAATTGATTATATCGTTACGTAGCTTCCAATTCGAAAAGAAGATTCGCAAAATAGTGTTCCAGACGCAATGAAACGGCGGTTGCTAGGAGACATGCGGCAGAGTGTTCGCTTCTTGAAGTTAGCTTTAATTTAATTTAGCGAGCAATTTACTAGAGCCAGAGGCATGTAGGTTGAACCTGCTAGTCAAATGTAAATCCTCAAGCCAGTCAGATCGAAAGGGTTAATGAGACGGTAGCACACTGAGCAAACGAGAACGATCAGAAGGCACAGACGTGTTCATAGATTTCGATGGTCGGGAACACCGCAATTTTCCTATAGACTGGCCGAATACGGAATGCAAACAAGCCGGATACGTACGACACGGACGGGGAGACACGTATAGGTGGAGCGTATGCGTCTTCTATCTCCTTGGCCAAATTTTGGAACGATATTTGCATTTTCCTTAGAATATTCCAAATCTTGGGAAGTCGCAGAGGCGTATTGTGGGGATCTTGAGAACGCTTGTATTAATGGAAAATGTGTTATGGGGTGTACTGAGGCAATGCCGTAATGGTGTTCGAAACTGTTTCCGGAGAATGACTCTCTCTCTACTAGAAAGATGTAGTTGAAATTTGTTTTCGTCGTATCTATGTATAAGAACCAGAAATTCTCACGGCCAGTTAGGAAACCGAGCCAATCTGTTCATCGTTTAAAAATATTGAATTTGAGTCAAAGTTATACATAATTGTTAAAATTAAGTTATAATTTCATACACATTGAGATTTTGTCATTTGCTTTTTTTGATAATGTCTCTTCTATAATATTAGTTTTATTTCTGGCACTTCAAATATAAATCTGCAACTTGAACAATTCTATTAGAATTTTTAGAATATGATGCAGTTAGTTTAATTGGTTGGTTTAAGATATGATCGGATAGAGGGTGTTGTATTACGAAACATTCTAGCAGAAATTGTGTATGCACGGTTCAGTCGCATTGTTGAACTTACCGTGACTCGGCATTAAGTTGTAAATAAAAAATTAGCTGCAGCAAATTTGCTTGTTACCACTTTACTATCGCATAATGTCATTAGACGATCGCAACTAGATTATTTATTTCTTTATAACTGTGCCAAAGTGTTCTTAATGGGAGGGAGCAGGCTTACTGTTATACAACACCTCTTGCTCACCTTCTGTGAACAGCTACCCTTTGAATTTTTGACGTCGTCTTTTTGCTATTATCCATCTTCTCATTTGTCTAATTCGTTAAAGTTGAAACACACGTTATACGGACGGCCTTCATTTACGGTATGATAAACAGTACAATTTTTCATACGTGTATAACCAAATATTTATAGTTTACAGGATAAAAGTTGTTCTCTGTTTTAACCGAGCAAACATTAATTTATTTGCCTGGTCGTTTCTATCCTGTTTGAAAATTGCTAGCTTAAACGTTGACAGCACAGAAGATGGCAAGGCTGCCGTTGTAAAAATTTGGCAATAACAGTTTCAATAATAGCAAACAGTACATCAGATTTGTATTAGTACATCCGACGATGCGTAACTAAATTGTCTTCATGGTGACAGATATGAAATCAAATACGACAGGGAAAATGGTTCTATTTTTGTGTCCAAATATAAGGATGTGACAGTAAGAAGAATATCGAATGAAGAACGCTTGTCGGTTTAGTGGTATATGTATACGTTGTTTGAGGAATTGGTTTTGTCGGCGAAGATACTTTACTTGGATACTTGTGATCGATTTTTCTTTTGGTACGTATGTATTCAGTCTGGAGTACATAGATTTTTAAGCACAAAATGCGCTAAGAACATTCTCAAGTACATGTTATACCGACTAGTCACATATTTAATAAGTTATTTATTTCGGATGTGTACTATTGACTACATTTTCATTATCTTCGCCGAGATACAAGATAGAAGACATTTCTACATATTCTATTATTTTCTATGATTGTATAAAAAAATTCCTTAAAACAAAGTTATAAAATGTTTTCGTTTGGAAAAATTTGGAAAGAAAATTGTATAAAACGAGTTCACTTCCAATTCACTGCAAAAAGCTACTACGATTCTTTGTCTGTCAATGAGACATAGAAAGATTTGAATAAAATGCAATTCCATAATTGCGACTCGTAATGAATCTTTAGTAAATTCTTGGCTTTTTACAGTGGATGAAACAATAGCGTCGACGAGGGAAAAAAAGTTAAACGAATAAAAAATCTGGCCGGTGTACGCGTGTCCCACCTTCATCGAATGAATTTTCATTAGGGGTAACTTACCCTGTAGCCCCCTAAATGATTGACCAGACACGTAAAAGTTGCGTCCCTTCCCAGCGATACCGTTACATTTTGGATAGCATCAGCGAATTCGGGTGGAAAAGCACCGCCTGAAACAGGTACGATGCACGTGAAAAACTTTTTAGATTTGCATATCTTGCTCCCTGCAATTTAAAGACATGACGTTCATTTACTAAGTTAGATACACTTGGTAAAAAATTGTAGAGCAGTTATAGAGTAGAGAGCAAGAAATGAGATAAGTTTTGTCTAGTAAACGGAAGATTTCATAGTCGCGGAGGGTTGGAAAATTCCGTGGTTCTAATTAATTAGCAGATTTAGGAGAGTTTGTGCTTTTACTTTGACACTCCTGCTCCTATGAGAAAACATATCTTCCTTTCTAAAAATTAAAATATTTCCAATCGCGAAAAGGAAAACATATCGATTTTAGTAGTTCGAATACTTTAATTCAAAATATTGCATTTTAAAACAAGCTACATTTGTGACGTTTGTCATTTCGAAACGATGTTTATTATACAACAATCTATAGGAACGTTAAACGACTGATATTTGAATCTGATCTCATAAAACAGCGTATGAAATTAAAAACATAGAATCGATTTCTATTTCCAGGCTTAATAAAATACCTGAAGATGAGAATAGGACGGTTTTCATCATGACCTTCTTTCTAATTTTGGTAATAGGTGGAACAGACACGATAGAACGGTGCGCGATTTCGGAAACGGAATAACATTCAAATTTGCTTAGTGCATTTCATATGTAATAATGTTGTTACATTATTTTGGTACTTAACGAGCCACCGTTATTTACGATTTATTATTTGATAGATTGATGCGCACAAGTGATACGCTTTTCGAATATTTTACTCGTAGAAATGATGTTGCTATCTTTCCCCTCTTTCCTCTATTTTCATCTATTTCCCTACATTGTGTACGTATATACGCACGCGGGCTTCTATTATCATATCCTTTTTAAAATTCACCGAATTAAGTATACAAGTTCTTTTTAACATGTGTAATAACTATAAAAATCAAAATTACAAAGCAAAAATGAATTTTGTAACGGATAAGCATTCGAAATGGTCGTTGTAAAGAGAGCTGTTGGATTAGATTAAGTTCTGACATGACACGTTACATGATATTTTTGAGAAGGTTATTATATTTTATTTATAACTCACAGCCAAATGTTTCATGGTTGCTCAGATGATGATTTTTAGACTTTTGCTTCTGGACGCTTGGTAGTGAGTAGAGTCTTAAGCACATTTATGTAATACTTTTATAGATTATTCGAGTTAATTTATCGTCAACATATACATACGTGCAAATTGTCCAATAAAAATAAACGGTCACTAGATCAACCATGAATCCGTGTTGTATTCTCGTGTATTTCGGTGAAATTTCCGTATAGTCTTCACAACACTTATCAATGGAAATATTTATATTATAAGAATAGATTATATTTAATATCGTTGCGTATGTTTATCCGTAAGAAGGAAAACTATTCATCCCTCGTTGGGCACTAAAAGACGCAGATTTTGCAATCGCAGAGCAGATGCTTTAGTAGTTGATGCAGTCATACATCGAACTTCATGTTTAATTTTAGTGACGCAGCGCGTTACAGGATAATTTGATACAAAATAAACGAGCCATGGTTGTACGACGCCTATAATATTAAATGCCTTACATTTCGTACGATATTAAAGGGTACTCGGTTAATCCTAACTAGCCCTTCCTACGAGTTCTTCATTGATGAATTTCGAAGTTATGCGCATTTTATCTCATGTCCTTCGCGCGCGTTGCTTCACGGAAAACAGTATGAAAATTATGGAATTTATTTCGAAAAAAATTCGACGAATTTTTATAAAGTAACGCTATATTATAGGATGTACTAATTAGTGTTAATATATTTGAAATCTTCGTATTCTACGAACTATGTTCAATTTTTTGAACCTGTATATTAAGATGATACGGATTGCTCACACGATAGAACTGTAACCACAACTGTGTTCTTAACATCGTAGAGTTCAGCATAGATATTAGCAACATTTAATAACTTAAATGTAAACACAGATCCAGATAATGATAGTATCAACCCTTGCTTTGTGAAATCATGTATATTTATAATGTCCAGAATTCTTCGGGCAATCTTTAATAAATTGGTATAGATTTCTTCCTTCACAAGATGAAGTAATAGCTATTTTAAAAAACATCTTTTGAAAAAAAGTCATTGAGTAAAAATTAATTTTTATTTAACTGAAAGTGTTATAAATAAATCTCAAAGAAATTTCTCAGAAAATTGAATGATTAAATGATATTAATATCTAACTGTTCTGATTACGAATAATCATTTATAATGATTAATCTTTTATGGCTACCGCTAACCATTATCGATGTCGGAAATTTAATATTGATTACCAATAACCATCATGACTCGAATTTTATTTTGGTTACCGATAACCATTATCGATCATGAAAAAATTCTTTTGTTACTTTTCTTTTCACAAAACTTTTTCTGATTATATTAAACTATCGTCAATTCTTATTAACATGAAAAAACAATTATAAAATTTATTTATTAAGCGAGAAAGATATGAAAATATATGAAACAAGGAATAAAATAAAAGATATTATAGTACAATATTTTTATTAACACATATTAGGCAGTTAACGCTCCCGGGAAGCGGCGGGGTAGTGTCGGACTTCACCGATTAAAACGCCACGGTGGTCCGCCTGACGCTCAACAGGGATGCCCCGGGACCTCTTTCGAATTACTGCCAAAGCACTCCTGCGTCTTTTCCCACTTTGGGGGAGGTTAGTTCTTCCCTCTCAACGCTATTCTCTGGACCGTCATACAATTCTGAGTAGATCCCAGAAACTCCTCGGCGTGTCGACACCTATGACCACCTAGGGCGGCGTAGGGCCGCCCTTCGGCGCGGAACCCTACTAGGGTGGGATGTTCTCATCCTCTCCCGCTCTGCCCACTCCTTTAAGAGCATTACTCCTTCGCAATAGGAGCGGATTACAAGGAACTCCTGTTGTCCCCTCCGCATCGCTGTCACAACTGACGAGGGGATTAAGCAATTAACTGTGTTCAATGTATATACACGTCAATCCGAAATTTTATTTCGGCGCGAGTGATGTGTACATTCGTCGTGCAAAATAAAAAATTACCATTTACTATAAAAACTCAAAATTTTAGTAAAAAGTAAAATAATATAAATGATGTTTTGTGGTATATCCGTTTTATACTTCCAGTAGAACTATTATGTAATTTATAAAGAAGGAAGTATAAAAAACAGAAGTGTTACGTCGTGTGAGATGATCCGTACGACGTCCTTCATTGTCTGACCGTGATAGCAACAGTCAGTTCAATAATTATCGAGAATGCACCTAATAGCTTTATTCATAATCAACTCACCAACTGGCAGCTCTTTAGAGAAGTCTTTAATCACTCAACTTCAGCCTTAACTTCACTAAAAACTAATGAAGATATCGAAGCAGACACGGAATGCTTAAACATGAGCATAATAAACGCTATCCACTCCTCCATACCTACTAAGGCTTCTATCAGCAAACGTGAATATCCCCATTACATATTAAAAAAATAGCAGAAAAACGTAGACTAAGAAGAGTATGGCAGACTCATAGAACACCGGATAACAAACGCAAACTAAACAACGCAACTAGAAAGCTAACCAAAATCATCAAAAATTACAAAAATGACTGTTTTCATAAATATCACGCCAATTTGTCCCCCACAGCTGACTCCAACTACTCACTATGCAAGGTCTCCAGGAAACTCATGCGCCCCCGCAAGTAATCCCTCCAATCTGCCGTCCGCAAGGTGGATGGAAGCGTAGCCCTATAGAAAAAACCAACCTGTTTTCTAAATACTTGTCTAAAGTATTTAAACCCTATTCCTCCCCATTTCTTCAAAGCTGCCGCGGACATCATTGAATACCTGCACTCTCCCTTCCAAATGTCTCCTCCTATTGAACCCTTCACTTCTGCAGAGATTATAGAATCAATCAGTCGCCTAAATCCAAAGAAAGCAGCAGGGCACGACTTAATAGGCAATAAACCAATCAAGCAACTTCCCATAAAAGGGATTGCACTTATCACGTCGATTTTTAACGCTATTCTTCACCTTGAATACTTTCCTAAAGTCTGGAAAATCTCACTGATTACCCTCATCCCTAAACCCGGAAAATCGATATATGAAACTAGCTCCTATCGCCCAATCAGTCTTTTACCTACCCTATATAAACTATTCGAAAAGATGCTAACGAATCGACTCCTTCCACTCCTAGAGGATTTTAAAACACTCCCAGATCACCAATTCGGCCTTCGGAAACAACATTCAACAGTAGAGCAAATCCATCGCATAACCCACATGATCAGCCAAACCCTTGAAAAGAAAAAATATTGCTCAGCGGTATTCCTAGACATTCAACAGGCATTCGACAAAGTATGGCATGAAGGGCTACTATACAAGCTTAAAAAGATCCTACCTCACCTCTACTACTTCATCCTAAAATCCTACCTAACCAATAGACAATTCATTGTTAAATATTCATGGTTAAATGCCTAGACACCACTTCCACAACATTCCCAATAGAATCTGGCATACCCCAAGGTAGTGTCCTCGGACCCCTACTGTACTCCATCTACACTGCCGACTTACCTATATCAAACGAGATAACAATAGCAACATTTGCTGACGACACAGCGCTATTAGCTACTCACGCAGACCCGATCACTCTCCAGCGATGTCTCGACTCCATGGAAAAGTGGTTTCATAAATGGGGCTTCAAAATCAGCGAAAAAAAATCCACACATGTAACCTTCACGCTCCGAAAACAAACCTGTCCCCAGGTCACCATTAACAACACAATAATTCCTAGCAAGGACACAGTCAAATACCTGGGCATGACCCTGGACAGGAGGCTAACTTGGAAGAATCACATCACAGACAAAAAAAGCAACTCAAGGACAAACTCAAGAAATTCTATTGGCTGACTGGCCGACGCTCCAACCTAAGCACACAGAACAAAATTAGCCTCTACAAGACCGTAATAAAACCTATCTGGACCTACGGAATCCAACTATGGGGAACAGCAAGTAACTCCAACATTGAAATACTTCA